GAAGCGGATAACCGCGTGCACGGCTCGCGGTGCATGGTTTGCGGTTCAACAAAGAGAACGGTGTCTGGGGAAAAAAAGCAGAGCGCAGCGGCGGTGTCGGTGGCCGCGGTGGAGGCTGAAATAGAAAGGACCGGCCAGCCGGGCAATAATTCGAAACAAAATGTCAAGCGGGCACCCATTGTCGGGTGCGGTGGTGCGGTAGGCGCCAACTAGCGCCGACGAGAAAATATCGCCGACAGTAAATCAAGGTGTAGAAGAGGACCCACCACCTTCTCCCATCCCCTCCTTCTCCCTCCACCCTCCTGTTCGCCACCCCTCCTCTCGGAGGCCCGTTTCATCCCTCTACGTACGGATGGTCCGGCCGCGCGATCGCGCCAGCTTCCGCTTCTCGTCACTGGAAGCTTCGCGGAACCGTCTCGTTTCGTGTTCGCGCTCAAATTTCCACTCCGCCCCCCCTTTGGAAGAAAGAAAAATTTTGCACGAAAAAAAAAAGAAAAAGAAAAGAAAAGAAAAATGATCGAAAAGAAAGATTCGTCGTTTTATGCGAGACGTGGTTATATACGAAGATGAGAGAGGAATGCGAGGAGGGTGGAAGGGGGAGGGAGTGATGGGCTCCAGGATGGAAAAAAGATTCTTCACCCTGCTTAAATATGTCCGACCGCAAAGCAATAAAATATCTTTATCTTACTCGTGCCATTACTCCCTTGATTCAGCGGGGGTTCAATTTACATTCCTATCGGGGCTTCGGAAAGATAAGTCCATTTAAATAAATTAGTAATGCTATCTCTTGGTCGGCGAGGAGTGGGAAGGGGGGGATCGGGGAGGAGGGAGGAAGAGGTGGGATTTAATAATATTTTATCAATTTTCGCGGCGATTCGTTACACGGTGACGCCGTTCACCATTGTTCCGACGTACAATTGCTCGAGTTTTAAACTTTACGCCTCGATGAATCATCTTTCGCGATGCGATCCGCCCCGTGATAAGTTGGTGAAAAAGTTCTCGACTGCCTTGAAAAACATTTCCCCGATCGATAAATCGTTACGTCGCCTGACAATTGATGGTTTTTACATTTGCACGATAAATTGTTTAAAAAAATTACCCCTCTCCTTTTTTACGCGCGTAATGCATCGTGTCTTTTCGACGTTTTTATTAAAACGAGAATAGAAACAAAAAAAAAAAAAAAAAAACAAAGAAAAGAAAAAGAAAAAAAAAGGAAAAGAGGCGAGAGTTT